GGGGAAGAAGCATGACGTTGTCGCGCAAAGTATCAAGATACATGGAGAGAAAGCTCTATCCTGGTACAAGAACAACTATCTCTCAACCAACCCAGAAAAGTTCCAGCTATTAACGATCAACCCGAGAAATGTTGACAAAGACAACGATAATCAAAATTTTTCTGTTGATGGTCATACTATTAAGAGAATGGGGGAAATACGGCTTTTAGGAGTTCAAATCGATGAAAAATTGAGTTTTACTAGTCATATCAGTGATCTATGCTCTAAGGCCAGTCAAAAAGTAGGGGTCCTAGTGCGGCTACGCAATTTGATACCCTGTAATGCTAAACTATCACTTTACAGGTCTTCAATTCTGCCCCATCTAACCTACTGTCTTCTAGTATGGCACTTTTGTAATGCATCAGATCGGAGAAAGCTTGAGCGGATTCAGGAGCGAGCACTTAGGGCGGTGTACAAAACTAGATCAGCTTACTATCAAGAACTGCTAAGTCGCGCGAAACTACCGATGCCTACAAGACATTGCCACTTTGATGTTTAAAGTAAAGCACAGTCTCGTACCCGAGAATATTTCTGCCTTTTTTAATATAAAGAAACTCAGTATAATTTACGGAACAGTGCCTTCGAACTGCCAAGATTCGAAACTGTAAGATTTGGTAGGAATTCTATTAAATAGATGGGACCTCTCATCTGGTCGAAGTTACCAAGACACCTAAGAACGATAGAAATTCTAAATTCGTTAAAGAAGAACATAAGAAAAGTCGACCTTTCAACTCTTGTTGAAATTTAAAACTTAACTAAATAACTGTATAATCTTTTTAATTATCTACTGTAAATAACTATTATCTACATATGTAAATGTATTTGACTTTTAAATTTTTTAGTGTCCCCCATTAGCTTATAGCTAAAAACATAGACGCTTAAATAAATTTTTCATTCATTTTCATAACGATAACAATCTAAGTCCTATTGTTAACATGGTGAAAGCACATTTGCTTGTCTTGTATCACAGTAATTTGCCAACAGAATATCTCACTTCTCCATTGATTTCTTGGTACAGAATTCATTCCTACCAACAATGCCTGAGGATAACTATATTGAGTGCATGAAGGCCATTGCTGAAACTATGAGTGGCACTGGTTGGGTTGGAGAGTGGTATGGTAAGTTTTTCTTAGAAATGTTTACGTTTAAATTTGGCAGTGATCTCAAAAATTAACTCGCAATTCTAGTGTTACGAGAACTATGAAATTACTTCTTACACCTTTCTTTCTTTTAGAGTGTGGTAGTTGCAGATATGTGTATTTCATTGGGAAGGTAAGGATATACATACTTTTTTATTTGGACACCAGAGCCTCAGGGTTTATTCTAGAAATTGGCCAATGAGGGGCGAATGAGCCTCCTTCAGTAATTTTAGGGGGTCTTTTTTCAAGAAACGGAGGTCCAAGAAAGGAGGTCCCCCCAAAGGCATTTTGGTTAGCGATTATTACTTTTCCATTAGAAAATAAACGTTTATTGAAATTATCATTTACAAACTTGCAAGTACTGAACATGACGTTAATTAATTTTGTTTCTTTCAGGCCACAGGTTTTAAGGAAAAAGTATATGACTCATGAGTCAGATCATGGCTTTTCTACTCCTCTGTTCTTTTTCTTATGCCATACCCGATAGGCCTCACGAAAATCAAATTTGGACTAGGGAAGCTCTTCAATTGAAATTGTCGTCAATTTGTCCAAGCATTCCCTCCCTAACCTGTTCCTTAGGGCCGTTCTTATTTTTAATTTTTTTTTTCGAATATTTTATTTCCCAAAAATGTTACTCGTTCTTAGGGTTTTTTTTGAGTCCTCTCCCCTCATTATTTGACACTGCAACGTAAATTTTATGTGGCATCTTTTTTCCAGTTTGCAGAGTTGCGCTCTAGAATGAACCCAGGAGCCTAAATAAGACACGAAATACTTGAAAATAAGTACATTTTCAATACTTCAATTTGAGTTATTCATATGCGAACCTGTCTTGGGCAGAATTTGGTTTCAGGCCAAGGGAAAATATTCACAGGTCTGATGAGGGAGGGGGAGGGATGGGAGAGCGTGGTGGTCCGTAATCCTTGGAGCTTCCTTCCGTATCCGCCACTGACCATCATAGACAACGAAGTAAAGAACTAACGCCCGAAACGTCACCTTTTAAACTCTTACGGCGACCAATTTACATTATCAACTCAGTTAATGAAACCAAATTATCTTGCTATTTTCCCCACCTACGCAGCATCACAGTTTCTTTACCCTCTTTGTTAAAGAAATCAAGGTATGGGTTCGTAGAGACTTGACGCATAATGACCGGTTCTTATTGTGCACACTAACATTCTATTTGTTTTAATATAGTGCGCTCGACCAATGGAGAAGGGCACTTGCCCAGAATGTAAAAAAGTATTGGGAGGGAAGGATCACGACTTCTTAGGAGAATACAGAGTTTCCGAAAAGTAATTTGAAGACATCTCATTTGAATAACTAAAATGTTTCTAAGTGTTCTTTTTGTTTCTTTATATAATAAATATATATTTTTGTCATCACAATGGACCCACACTGAGGACGAATCTCTATCTAAAAAAAGGAGCTATGTTAAAATATGTTGAGTGTTCTTTTGTGCAATTTGAAAGACTGACCTCAACGGAAAGGAGACTACAAAATGGTAGATTGGAAGGTAGTAGCACAACAGTAGAAAGCAATATCATACTAAAAAGGAAAGAAGATATTTCGGGAAGGAAGAGATTTAATTGGATCAAGAGAATATACAATGTGTAGTTTATATTCTCTCGAGTGGATTCAAAATGACCAACTTAAAAATTTAGTCTGGATTTTTCTGGCTACTGCCTCCTAAACAAAATGGGGCGAAGCCACTATGTGACAGGGATGAGTGAGTGAGCGAGTGAGTGAGTGGTGGTAAGTAACAGGAGAGTTTCGATTTTGACCCAGTTCTGACCCAATGTTTCCCGGTACTTCTTATTGTTTTTTTCTTTTGCGAAGCATCTTATTAGTTCGACATTCCCAATCAATGAACAGTTGAGTTCTCTCCGTTTGTAATTCAGTCTGGCTCGTTCCCAGTGACACATTATCTTTTCAGTTCTTGCCGTGACACTGCAAAGAGCAATTAGCATCTCAAAATAATTTTCAATCTCGCCGGCGCATAATTTTATTTTCGAATAAACAATGCACCGATAATCACTTATCTGTTGTAATCTCTAGGAAAGACAGGACCAAAACTGGCCATGCACTCGGAGAACCTGGCTCGAGACCTACGAACGCAGAACCTCAGAGAGACATGCCACCGATAGTGTGCGGTCTCTTGAGGATTATCATGCACTCGGCTATGGTCATGGGAGCATCTAAATATCCACAGGTGATTATTCTTTAGACACATTGAGCGGCTGGCAGAAAGTGAACAATCTGGTAACTTTTCCTTTTAGCTGCAGTCCCTCTGAGCCTCTCTGTAGAAAGAATTCTGATTTAGAACGCCAGTGGTTTGATGCAAATTTTATGAAAAGAAGAAGAGCGTACAGTTTATTTGACATTTAGTTTGACAGACCAGTTTTCACAGTGATAGAAGGCTCAAATTTAAATAACAATGAGGATAACAATAATAAAAATAATAATGATGATAATAATGACAATATTAATAATTACAATACTTTATTTACAGAAGGTAACACCAAACAGTTACAAACTGATAAACTTGTGTTCCTCTAAATTGGTATTTGAAAACCCCAGTTGATCATCTTTGTCTAACTCAACAAAGCCCAAAAATGTGATGTAATAGATATCCATATGGTTTAATTAAGGAAAGCAGCCCAGTTTTATTCTCATCTATCTCGCTCTTAAGTACAATTTCAGTTCTTCGATTTTTCTTCAAAGGCAACCGGACAGCTAATCACACCTTCATGCCCGTCGCAGTCTGTGGAGTCTGTGGGACAGTTCATATGGCAGCACTTGCAGAGAGACCTTGATGTTCTCAGTATAGCACTCGGGTGCAGTGTTGATGACGCAGCTCTGACAGTTCATCTGGCATTACAGCGCATGATCTCGCTAAATGGGGGAAAAACTGGTACATGCTTCCTTACCTTAAAATTAGTGTACAAAAAAAGAAGAAAGGGAAAAAACACTTTGTCGCAATGGTTAACGGGCTGAATTCCGGACTGTGTGGTCTTGGTGCGAGAGCTGGAAATTTAGTTGTGTTCTCCACGGTGGAGTTTTAATGGTTACTGTTTACTCATCCGATGACCTCCTATCTTGTGCGCAAGTTCAAGCCATCATTATAATATTATGGAGTCAATTAGCTCACGGAGCGAATTCGAACCCATGCTAATTAAATGACTAGTAGATAAAAGATGACACCAAAGTGTGACAGTCTAATTAAAAAAAAAAAAAACTTTTGGAAAAAAATGAGGGGCGAGTCGCTTGCTGATGTTGCTGAATTTTGTCCATAAAGAACTGACACACGACAGCATAATAGGGAGGACCAACAGATTTTGATAACGTCATATTTACGTTTGTTTTCTCATTGGTGAAAACCGATCAACCTAAATGGCGAGTTCAGCTTATTGAACAAAAAATTAATTTTTTTTTCTATGTTTTACTCATCAGTTTGTTTGTTCTTTCCCGTTGTTCCTTTTTTCTCTCCATACTCTTCAGAAAATGTCCAAGAAATGTTTCTTCAAACCCGGGAAAGTCGCCGTAGCTGGGAGAAAGCTTTTTGCTCTGAGATTCTTGTTCCTGTTATCACCGTACGTACTTTTGAAATTGAGTGATTTCATTTCTTTGTTTTTCATATTTATTTGCTACATACGATCTTTATGATTATCGTTTAAGTGTAACTTTTATTTTTGCAATAACTTCCTAGCATTTTGACGAGAATCTCCAGAACGCCTCAAGACTTTTGATGGGGGACGAGAGATTTGGTACGCTTTTCCATTTTACTTTTTGATGCAGCAACAAACGCGTGGCAGGCGAATGATAGAACATGCTTGTTCTAGTGGATAACAGGGCTTTCATATTACCTTTTAAAAGGTGTTTACCTCAAAATTTGCTAGTAGGGAGCCGTATTCTTCAACACGAAACAGGTTTTACTATTACTTTTATCGTTGAATGGCGTATTTTGTTGAAGCATGCGCAACTTCTGTAGACTATGGCGAAACTGTTGAATATAAGCTTTGTAGCAAATATGGTCTGAAAAATGAGAAGAATCACCCTTAACCTTAAGACAGACGACGATAGATGAGATTGAAGGGATTGACTCTGCTCGTAAATGACAAACTCCAAAAAAATGTAGGTTAACTTTTTTAAGTGAATCAAGTTTTAAACATCTTTGTGTTTTCCTTTTCAGGAAAAGATCCGCTGGTGCGTCAACTTTACGAGTTTGATGAACACGTGGAAGACTTGTCTCAAGGCGTCAGGCCCATGTCTCGCGCTCTTTGGAAGTACTGACAGCATATTACTGTAGAGGAACTAAGTAGCTCTTTTCAAAGAGAAGTCCTTTCTGCTGGCAAAAAGGAATTCAAAGTATTGGACGCTTTCCTCAAACAGGTAACGTCCCAACATATTGCTACAAAGGGATGAGGTTCTGTGATCCAAAAATTGTCTATCTTGTAATTTCTACAGGGGCCAGTCACAGTCTTATTAGAACAGGGTTTTTATCGATATTTTAACCCCTTTTTTTGCCTAATTTTTAGGAAGCATCTACCAATGAAAAACCGAATGCAGTCTCCTCTCTAAGTGTATCTTTGGATAATTTTTCCTTTTTGACAAATACAGGAACACAAGTTGCGCTTCGTTCAGTTTCTGCCCGATTTTGTTCGCCTCCAGCGTCTATTGATGGACAGATTCCACAGACGAATTGACAGAACAGATGCTGAGAATTATACCGTCCGTGAATTTCTCAAGAACCTTCCGAAAGGTACGTTATCAGTTACAAACCTGTATCCGATATAGCCAATGCCATGAAAACTATGTACGCCCTATCAATTAAGTGAAAGATGCCAGTGTAAGCGCGAATGCTCTGAATCTGTTGGTAAATCGTAATTCTGAATAAAATTCATTTTGTCTCTCAGGGTCTGTGAAAGAGGAGTACACTAATCTCTTCCAGAGTTTTAAGAATGCTTGGAATTCTTGCAAGTCATTTCTCGGTGATCAAGGTATAATGACGTTCCGTTTTTTCCAGGGTACATGCAAGAAGGCTATGGTTATTCTTATGACTAATTCTGTTGTTTTTGTTAAGTGTGATTCTGTAGTTAATAATACTTTATAATATATCTGAGCCAAGCGTGGTGAGATAAAGAAGGCCAAGCTCATGAGTGATGCTAAATTTAGACTATGATGGAGAGCCACAACTTAGTCATCAATTACTAGAACGAATATTTATCGAACCGTTATTATTTAGTCATGGTCAGAAGCACACCGATTTATGTGGTAATAAATTTCAACTGCCACATAAATTTATTGTTTTCGTTGATTATTTCGGCTACCAGTTTTATCATGTCCGTTTCTCAGTGTATTTATTTTTCATAATTTTTTTTCTCTTCTTCTTTACACCCTAAGGGCGCCTGCGCGTCCCACAAGACCTTTGTAATACCACAATGGACAACGACTGTGCAATCGCGATGGTTCTCCCCAGTACCACCGGGATGGGAGTTTGCTCGACTTCACTTACCTTCTTCCTGGTTAATGTAAATAACGAGTCTCTGGGAGCCTACCGTAGTGCAACTAATCAGGATAGGTACATTTTAACGAATAACTTACGCGTTGCTTTTTTCCCTTTACCCTCTATGGAAGCTAATAATTGTCGTGATCTGATGTAAGCAATATGAAGCGTAGATCCCGTTGTTCTAGTGTCTCAGCTGCAGCACGAGACTTACACAAGCATCCTGCAATCAAGTTTCGACTCTTCCAAATGCAGCTTTAGAGTTAAACAGGTCATGAATGTCGGAAATTTTATGGAGAATAATGTAACAATTTGTTACAGCTATTTTCTCCACTAGTCCAGCTCAGTCTAGAGTCTGGCATAATTACCACCTAAGCGCGGTACAATTATTACAAACAAAAAAAAGTGACACATCATTAAACATCTCGTATGATGCACGATCCTCGCATCAGATAGCGCTATTTAAGCAATAGCGAAAATCAGACCTGAAAAAAATCGAACCACTGACCTCTGCGATACTAGTGCAGCGCTCAGTGGTTCGAGTCCCGTACAGGCCTGATTTTTTTCAGGTCTGATTTTCGCTATTGCCTAAATAGCGCTATCTACTACGAGGATCGTGCATCATACGTATCTAATACCGCAGTTCAAAATATATGATCTTCATATATTCATTGTATGTCAATAAACATCTCATCGGTAAAAATTCCTTTTTAGCCCCTTGGAGCGTGTTTCCGTATCAGAGGTGACCCTGTCGCACTTGATAGCCTACGATCCTGAGAGGGACCTGCTGCCCCTCATCCTGGCTCACTGTAACTACTCTCTGGAGGTGGGACAGGAGACCTTAGTTCACTATGATTGGGCGGCTTTGGAGAGACAACTGACTGACAGGTTGTTACGGGGAAGGCCTTTTGTTGAGTTCAAGGTAGGGTGGAAATATCTAGGGCACATATAACGTGATGAAAGATAAGCATATTCTGTTTATTCTGCAACAGCTCGTTCTCACCGCACGGGAATGTATTTATACTCATTGACTGAGTGTGCTTCATCTAACCGCAAACAGTTTCATTCCCAATTTTTAAGGCACGTTTCCGTTATAAACATATGCCTCAATCAACAGCTTCAGACATAGATAACAAAGCTTACTTTTGTCACGTTTCAAGCACAGGACTTCTGTGAGCGATACAGTTAGAATACAAGTTATTTCTTTGGTTGAAGTATGTTTCAAACAGCGGTATCAGCCCCATTTGTTGAGACTGAGTGTCACTCATTCTTTTTCAATCTTTCCCTAAGTTGCTTGTCTCACTGGTCAGTTTCTGATGACCAAGAATTGAAAACAAAACAAAACTAACTTTCCTTTTTGAAGACGGGTTTGGACCTTCGTTAAGACCACTCCTCCACAGCTGTAAGAAAAATTGCAAACGAAGTCATTGTAATATGTGTAAGCGCTTTATTGTTTTCTTTGTTTCAGGAAGAACGTTTCGCGTTCAGCCGAGACACCCGAGATGACGCTGTATTCACTTCTCTCTCTGGAAAAATTCCTCAGGTAAATTTCAGTTTGTTTTTTTTACCCTTTAAGATATACGTATGGCTAGCGTACTATAAAAGATCCAGAACAGGAAATTTGCTTCCGCCTTAGTTTCACCGATGGACCCAAAAATGAGATTTCAAGGTGTGGAATGTTTGAAAGTGACGGTCATCTGGAGGTTTGGTGCCAATGGTATTTGATAGCGCTTGATTTGCGGTGCAATCAGAGGGTTTCAAATTGGTAAAACATTTATGCTCTTGTTTATCGGAAACCTAACTTTTTGGGGAAGTAAAGCTTCCTTCTTTATTATTGTTTTTTTTTTCATCTAGTCTGTCTCTGATTGCACTTATGCGAAACAGGTTTATTATGTTGTTGTTGTTGTTTTTTTTTTTCCCATCATGTGCTGGGTTGCATACTGCAATCTGATCCGTCTTAAAACGGAAAGAACAGTACATTGCGCTTTCGAGCACGTACCTTCCAGCTCCGGTTAACGGAAGCATGTTTTCGGCTCTGAATTGTTTTTGTCACGTTGATAGTATTATTTTTATCACATTATTATGATGTTAATGTACGAAAGCGATCCTAGCAGTAATGAACCTTACTTATGTAGTAGTGGAAATAACGCCTGAAAAAAATTTTTGGCCCGTACGGGATTTGAACCCGTGACCTTTGCGATACCGGTACAGTGCTCTACCAACTGAGTTATTCAAATTCTATGATGTTAATGTTTGTATCGGTATGGTCAAGATCTGAGACACTTTAAACCACTTTTCTCTACAGGAATCCATTTCCCGCGTCATCGAAAGCCAGATTATTGTAGATCTGCGGTCTTCCTTGTCTGATGTCTGTGATGTTATGTCGTCACTGGATATTGCCATCGGTTTTCTTGCCTCATCGGGCGGCCAGCCGGAGAGGCCTTTAAAATGGTACTTGCATGAAGTACTTAAGTTACCCAAAGATCGAGGTCTTAAGAGTCCAACAGTAAGTACATTTCTTCTCTTTATTCGAAAGACTTACCTAACTGGTCATCGTTTTTGACTGTTACAAAGTTCCAATCACCAATATCTGAATCAAAATGTTCTTGTTTAGCACTTGAATGATGTGTGAGAAATGTCAGATAATTCTTTCTTATTAGTTGATAAAGGAGAGGCCCTATTTTCGACTGTTTGCCCATATGTTAGCCAGCAGTGCTTTTAGCTATGCATAGGTTCTCAAGGATTTTGCCATCTTGTTGTAGGCAGAACAGCACTGCAGTTTATCCCATACCTTGGCATTGTGGCGGCTTATGGCTCTCGAGAGAGCAAAAATCAAGTCAAGGAACAAACAGGTTAGGTTTGAAAGGATTTTATTTCCCTCTGGCTGGCTTAACTTTCTGGTTAAATGCTGGCCTTTTTTCACTAACTTTAGCCTTATAGCATTAATTAGTTTACGAATAAAAAGAACAATTCAAACTTTGTTCAAAGTTTGATAAGTTTTTCTGATATGCCATACGCGAGATGTGCACCTCCGCTTTTCCCCGAGGTTATCAGTCAAAGTGCAGGTTTGATATGAAAGGTTTGATGAGGTGTGTTTTTTTAGGAGCCTTTTGATCAGTTGCCTGACGTTTTCAAGGAAAGACTTAGCTCAAGCGAACAGGCCAGCCTAAATCGCGTGTTGCGAAAAATCGACATGGACATATTTCTGCCGCAGCTCTTGCAGATTATTCTTCTGAATGTCAAAAAGGATGGCGAGATAATTTCGACGATGAGGTAAGACGAGCTATTTGAAATGTTCCAATTTTTAATGCGTCAGCAAAATAAGGAACAAAGTAGTTTTTTTTATCTTGCACTTCCTACGGTTGATATCGTAACTTTTGGAAATAACTGTTGCATTTGCCACCGTGTTACTTTGGAGTTATGACGTACAAACCATGACAGCAACGAGATTACCTAATTTATAGGCGTTCGACTCCAACCCTTTTTTACTCTTAAAGTAATTGGTATTTTTTATAGGTGATATTGTTTCCTGGGGTGGGTGATATCGTCGGTGTCTATTCCTGGTATTTGAACAGAAGGTTCTTATGATGAACGCTTTTCTACGCCTTGTTGTCCAATTTTCCCTAATTTTCCCTTTCCCGTTCAAAGTTCCTTTCGTATTTTGTAAACGAGTTGCTGTTTCAAGTCCACGTTCAATTCTTTGAACATTGGTACTTCAAAGGCGAATTGAAAATTAATAGCAAAATCTTGATCATCCCAATTGACAAAAGTGGAGAAACAGTTTGCGGTAAACTCTCTTGCGGCTTTAGAAGTCTCGATACTTTTTACTCACTTACCTTATGAAGTACCATAGTTTAACCCCTTTAATTCCAAGATCTGTTTATTAATCCTCCGCTTTAGCTGCTACTCATTTCCTTGTAAATAAGTTATGAGAATTTGGTGTTAGATCGGTATAACAACTTCTGACCGATAAGGTTGATTACTGTCTATCTGTTTGCTGGATCATGTGTGGAAATTGTAGGGACAAGTTTCATGTTAATCACTTGTACGAGTTAAGGTGATAACAGAACTAAGATCTTAAGACAAATTTATTGCAGCTTTGAAGAGTACTTGGATATGTGTTTAGCCGACAAAGGTATGGAACAAATTCCAGGAGCGGAGAACATTCCAGACAGCATCAAAATGACGCACCTAAAGGCAGTTTGGAACTCCGCTGTCCAGTTATGTGACGACTTTCACAAAGATCGTCAAGCAGTTTGATCCTTTCTTTGAGAGCAGTCAGTTCAAAACTCCAGTGGTGCAGTCAGTTAGGTGTTAAGATTAAAGAAATGAAAGGGAAATACTAGGATATAAACTAGTAATAACATTAATGGTACATGCTGAATTTTCATAACAGTTTGGCTTCTACCTTCAGTTTTCTATCTTATAGTAACGAGGTATTAGACACACTTAAGAACAATTCAATTTCAAAATTTAGCATGTTATAGATACGGCCATTTTTGTGGCTACTGTTTGGTACTTCGCGGTCGTTACAGTTAATGGTTAGGATCAGTCTGTTCCTTTTACTACATATATTTACCTTTGTTTTAATTAAAATGTTAGAGGAAATTTGTTCTCGATGCCCCTTCCCAAAAATGGTAGAAAAAAAGCAAGAGCTTTTGTCTCTGAAATCTAAAGAGGCTAGTATTATTAATTAATTTTTCATAGTTTTTTTTCTTATGCACTCAGTAGATAACTCGTAGTGCTACAGCTTTGAATGATGTAAGCATGGTATGCGAGCTTGGACCGCACCTTGAGTTGGTGTTAATTATAAGTTAGTATCGACAGAAAAGTTTCCATTTCAATAAACTTTTGTATAAATTACTTTTGTGCCGTGCGGAAGGTCTCGAGCTTTCCTTTCCCCTGTTTCTTTTCCTTTTACAGATTAACATGGAGGTTACAATGTCTTTTTAGCATATTTTTCGAGACAGTGGTTGTTTCTGATGTTAACCATTGAAATGTTTGACTGCTGTGGTAGTCATGAGGGCCTTGAAGCCAAACAAAAGACAATTTACCAGAACCACTGTTGATAAAAAAGGCCCAATAACATCAAGAGAATTTTGAATAGCCACGACGATAAAGGTGCTCAAAATTTTTTTTAGACTCTGGAGCATATTTTTGCCAAACCTAAGGTACTGTCAAGAAAGAACAAAAAATCGACGCCATTTATTCTATTCCATGCAATGATTGTGATCCGTGACAAGTATATCGGACAGACTAAACGTCAATTTGGTAAACGTTTGAAAGAGCATCAAAAATGCGGTTTCTTTTGCAAAAAGAAAATTTAGCTTTGTCAGAGTACCCATACCTAACAATACAATTAGGTGGGATAAGTTTAAAATTAACACCTGATCGATGTTTACCGTCAGCACCATTGTTTGGAAACCTGGCATATCAACTCCGCCCACGCTCCTTCTAATCGTGATGATGGCTGCTTACTACCTAACACCTACTGACCCTTCATCCGAAAAAAGGGTAGCTTATTAGTGAGAATATAAAAGGGCCTCTTGTTGCAACGACTAGATCACCCCTGATGAAAGTACTAGACAGGGTGTCGAAACGTTGGGTCGATGAATTGTAATTTCTTCTGTTACATTCATTAAATCTTTAAATCAGAGTGGCACCAAGCCATTATAATTGGGGTTTTATCAACTGAGTCGATACCGTTCGTTGATAACATTGGGATTAAGAGTGCCGTTTTGAAAGATAAACTTTTGTTCAAGAGTTTTGCGGCTTTCCGTACTACCCAAATGTAAGGAAAGGACGCAGACCGCCCTACGATGCTTGGAAGGATTAGGTGACGAGTTTGGATGCGTCCTTGTCATTCTCTTCTACGTGGCGAAGGTGTTCTCAGAATCGGTCACCTAGCCGTCTTCTTGTTTCACCAATGTACATATTTTTGCAGCAAGTGCACGTTATACAATAGATAACATTGTCGGAGGTGCACGTGAAGTGATCAGCAATCCTATAANCGGTACCACCACACCTTCTACCTCACGGCGTTGTGTTCCTCCACACCTTGCGAAAGACTCCTAAAGGAGGACCCTTTTAAGGATACGGTAGACCTTTGCGGGTGTCCTTCGGGTAAGAACTTTTCAACGCGTTATTTAAAGCGTATTCACCATAAACTATATATCAATGAAAAGGTTAGGAAATGCACCATTCGGCAAGAATTACTTCATTTCAGCTCGATCTAATCGTAAACCGAATGGGCTGCGACAATCCGAAATGGCCGATGTTTCTTAGGGCGAATTAATCGCATATCAAACCTGTCCTCACAAGCTGCATAGCTTCAATACTTATCGTGTTTAAATAGAGGTTTTTACTTTACTTTACATACTGCACAAATAAAACTTCGGGACAATTTCCATCTTTAGGGGTTGTGCTTCAAAACCGTGTGGGGATTTTTCGATATTATTACTGGTTTCTTCGCAATCTATCTCCCTTTGAAAACCTGAATTCCCCCACACGGGTTTTTTAGGTTGGTATCATGGGAGTCTTTGGACCAAATTTCAAGGCAACCTGTAAAGTTTAAATACCCTATTTATTAGTTCAAAGAAAGCGTATTCGCCTAAAAGTATGTTGTTTTTTTCCTTCCAAAGTTTTGCTAACAATTCACGCCTTTGGGATGACCATATGTCAAGTTATGTCAACACTCTAAAAAACTCGAAATGCCAACCGCCAATAGGAACACAGAAGCGTCCCGCAGAGTCTCAGGAGACTCCAAGCAAAATCATATTTTGCGGATAACCATGTATCAGTTTCTTGTGAAAGAAGGCAGTGTCCGTATTCCGATTGCATTGCGCTGTGGTAGCGTTATTTTCGATGGCGGTAAAAGCGGCAGAAATCGGCATATTTTGGCTGAACATTCCGTAAAATTTAGGCCGCCTCATTTTCATTTCACTGGCGATAAATGTAATTTGATATATGCTGAATGTGTAGAAGTGTTATTGTACGTATTTTTCACGTATTCTATCGTTCTCAAGGACAAACGCAAGCACCGTTTTATTAGCATGTAATTTGAGACCGGTTTTCGAGAAGGTCAAACTAGTTGTATATTGTAGTTTGAAGCCATGCAAAGATTTTTATGGCCACTTTCATCCTTCTTTAACAGCTACAATCAAACGCTCTCCAACGGTTGATGCATTCTAAGTGATCGCGTTTGAGACCTGCTATGGCAGCGAAGAGGCCTATTGTTGCGTTTAGTGTGTTGCGTTACATAGCGTTACTACTGCAAGGACATTTACTATATGTACTCGATCGTGTTGTAAATTGATTTACCTAAGGGAAGGCAAATTAACTAATCGCGAGTGTTTTTCTGGTAAATCTACTATCTTGATCATTGAATGAAGGACTGTCAAATTAGAGCAATGAAAAGATTCACTTGATCCATGAAAACCTCTACCTTGCGTGAGGCGACACGATGGCAAGCCGGAAAGCGAGAGGCGGTCGACTGTTGAATGGTGTTTATTGGCCTGTGCGTCTCCTACCATCCGCTGGCGTTTTTGCGATGTGATAATAAGGGTCAGTTTTAAGGTGTCATTTCCCCACCTGTATGTTCTTGAGGTTTGGCAAAACCGGATGAGATTGTGTTAGAAAAGGCCATATTTTCTTCTACGCGCGCGCTATTTTCTTTGTTTTAAAGGATACTTTCTCTCCTGCAGAAATAATTCCAGAGATACGTTTCTCAAAGCCCTTGTTTTGGTTTCCTCTATTCTCGAAGGGTATTTTGAAACTCGATAGGTGGTTTTCACGCTACGTCATTGCCGCCACGTTGGTGGACTTAGACAATAAATATCTCATTAGCTCCTTTTTTTCGTCCACCAGCATTTGTTCCTTTCACTATTCTTTCCTGTCTCTAGAGATGGGTTGCAAACCACCTTGTAGACGTGGAGCGAGACAAATTCGTTCTAAGGAGGCGTGGGCCTTCTCCTTTTACAAATCCTGTGTTCACGCTTGGTGGAGAAAGTTCGTGTCTTAGGTCTGTCTCTTTAATATGCGTTTGCATGTCAAGGGTCAATTCCCTGTTAAATAACTCGCGTCTAGGAATATAACTTCTGACTTTGATATTATTCATCCGGCCCACCATCGGCTGTGAGTGTAACTGTTGCCATTTGTGTTGAGATTCTTAGGCACATTGCAGTTTCGAACCTTTTTTAATAGCGTCAGTTGCCTCCTAAGAGCGAATTAGTCTTAGAGGAATGGCAGGAGTCGAGCATGCCCCTTCAACTTTTTAACTTTCGAAGGAACGGCAACAGACAGTAAATCCCCATTACAATCCACGTATATTCACGCGATCTCGCTGCTACGATAGAAATTCAATCCAACCCGTCAAGATGCAAAAGACTCAATTCTTACTCGGGCTTCCGTAGGAAAGCCCGAGTCTAAAAATGGAAGCCGTTTTGGTCGCCAAAAAGGGGGGTCATGGTCCCCGGCGTTCCTTTTCGGGAACTGGGGATGAGAGTGCGACAACTTGTGTTATCGTGTGCTCACTCCTCGTAAAGAACGTAATTTAAAGAATGCTGTGTTTTGTGAAGATCCCTTTGCAAAAATTCCTGTCTTATAAGCTCATCCCACAAAAGATGGAGAGCACAAAAGATGCCTAAGAATTGCTAGCTTCTTGAGTGCTCTCCAAACTTCCCAAGTGCCTCAAGTCTCGATGAACGCTCAGCTGACACATAAACCAATTGTTTTATAACATTTTCAATGCTGTAGTTTATGTTTAAAGGGCAGAAATTCTCTCCCACGCTTCAATGCGTTTAATTTTTTTCGGAAAAGTATTTCGTTTGATTCAATGATCTTGCCTCAGATTGGTCAAAAGCTGACAGGTGAATTCGTGCGTGAAAATAAAGTTAAGAGTTGGGAAACGAGATAAAACCGTTGATTGTTTTGTTTTCCCTTTCTCTGGGTTCTTTCACGGGAGTTAAAAAATCCATTCCCAAAGAAAACGTTGGCAGATCCTTCATTGGCTTGTTCGCTTGTTGCCATGTCTAGTTTAACTTTTTTGCTGAAGTTTTTCCCGTTTTTTTTATGAAAAATGCTGAAGTCACCCGCGAGGAAAACTTTTTTCGCGAGGCATTTGTTTGCAGACATCACCAGCGTGCACAATGGAAAATTAAAGCACGCTTGCGTGTGAAGCGTGCGAATTTGATTGCACGAATTTACAAGCTGTTATAATTGTACTCGTGTTTGGTGTGGATGCTATGGCTATAAAAGAAGCCCGAGTGAACGCTCCTCCAACGTCTAGTTGTTTTAGAACCACGATGCAACGCAATCAGAGTGCGTACACCGCCTGTTTTACGATGATGATGCAACGCAATCAGAGTGCGCGTGCGCACACCGACTGCGTGAGAGACCTTTAGTTCAATTCTTATGAAAGGAAATTTTGATGTAAAATCTTTTTTTTTTTTTTACGGCAAGAGCGGCTTAAGTACTCTACGGCAAAACTTAGTGGTTCTTGATCGAGCCTTTATCAGTTTCGGTGAGATTCTTTTGCCATTCCGTATCGAATTTCTTTACTTTTGGTGCTGACAGCCAGGCTTCTTTTTTACTTTAAACTATGGACTCTTCTCCTTTTTATCTTCCTCCATTCAGTCACATTCTAGTTTTAAACGCAGAGAGATAGCAAAGATTTCACGTACAACCGAACCCAGTAGATGTTAATTTTTCGTTTACGCGAATGAAATTCAATGACCAAGATGTTTTACTGTAAGAAACTTTACTGGAATCATTTGTGTTGACAAGTTATAATTAGCTATTCACACTTTGACGCGCAAAAGAATTCAGTTCGAAAATACGTTTTTGTAAATAATTCGCGTGGGTTTCGAGATTTTACTAAAATTTTTGTGGAAAATATAGTTAAAAGACTAATGCGTAAGTTGAATAAAAAACAACCTAAAAAAATTGTCCCTCGAGGGTCCACCGTCTCCTTAACACTTGGAATTAGTTTAAATAGGCTGATCACCATTTTAAAATGGGCTGATCTTCTAAAACTAGCAGTAAGCAGTAAGCCACAGAAGCACATAGTGGATTATTATACATACATGGGTTAATTGAACAATCCCCATNAAACACTTTGAAGAAAATGGCCTACGAGTCGCTGGCTGATGTTGCTGAACTTTGTTTATAAAGCACTGACGCACGCCAGCATACCAAGGGAAACCAATTGACCTCACTGATGACGTCATATTCACTCTTGTTTTTTTTCATTGGTGAGAATTGATCAAACCAAATCGCGAGATCAGCTTAATGTTAAAAAACTCAATATTTTTTCTCTATTTTACTTTCCAATAGGCTTTATATTGCCCATTGTTCCTCATTTCTCTCCATGCTCTCTCAGGAGATGACGATGACATGTGTCTTCAAACCCGGGAAAGTCGCCGCAGCTGGGAGAAAGCTTTTTGCTCCGAGATCCTTGTTCTTGTCATCACCGTAAGTGCTATTAAAATTGAGTGATTGTTTTTCCTTGTTTCTCTTATTTGTTTGCTACACACGATCTTTATGCATATGATTATCGTTCCTGTGCAACTCTTATATTTGCAACATCTTCCCAGCATTTTGACGAGAATCTCCAGAACACCTCAAGACTTTTGATGGAAGACGAGAGATTAGGTAAGCTTTTTCCATATTACGTACTTGTGAATGCTGCGTACGCTCTCTTGCGGCATCAGAAGTCTCACAACTTTTGCTCATTTGCCTTATGAAGTACTATAGTTTAACAGAACTAAAATCTAAATACAAATTAAATCCAATAAACTTTTGCACGAATTAGTTTTTTGCCGTTTTTGATGCTTTCTAAAATGATATGTTAAAGTGATATAGTAAGCACCCCACCCAAAGTTATACGCTGGCAAAATTTTTATGTGTATACGAAAGGCCCCGATGGTTCAGTAGTTTATTTACTTCACCGCTTTTCCCTCTGGCCCATCGTTTCCGCCAATTTAGTAAAAATAGCATCAGAATACAGTACCTGTTCATCTCTTTTGTGTTCCTTTTTTCTGCTTTACAACAGACCAGTTACAACCCGCGGTCGAAAAGCCAGTTTTGATTTGAACTGCCGTGTTACTGATATAACTTTCTCCTGTAGTAATGTATCGACATTTTTGTGTCTTATCATTTTCTCTCGTGCATTGTTAAATGATATTCCGTTAGGGTTTGAAATCAACCCCTTAAAGTTGTTTCGAAAGGGAATCCGGAAAGATCTCCTAGTAGCCTCATGCTACTCTGAAAAAAATTCTAAGTTCCACAGCTATTCTATTGTTTTCACCGTTTTCTCCTTTTATAAAAGAACTGTATGCAAATTAATGTGTGGGGTTATACGAAAATTATATCAGGGTTCACTCAGCTACCAGTAAAATAATGATTATACACCTGTACGGTTACGAAGATGCCACTCATCCGATAGAACACAACGGGTGCTGGAGCGTCATTCAATATGTGGCGAAGGCACCTGTTTGCGTCCATTGTACGATGATGCCAAACTCTACAGTGTTGAGAAGTTTACTTGGAAATCGTAAGCCGTTAATATTTAAGGGAAGGATTATCTTGGATTTTAATTAGAGGCAAGTCATTTAAAGAACCTTGTTGGCATTCTGAATCGGTAGGCAAAATAGAATTTCCCTGAAAAGGATTGAACGCAAAAGCTAATATTTTTAACAGCATATAGCTTCAGTGATTAATCATCAAACGGCAGGAAATGTGGCAGATTTTGACTCTCGCTTTGGTAACTTTTTATCCTTATTCTACAGACTCGCGGGAGGAATAGTCAATTGGTGCTCGCTCGACTAGGTAAGACGTGTCTTCCCTGCCAGCTTTGGAGACAACCTGAAAAACCACGTTATGCTCTCCCCAAACAAAGTCTCTGGTGCCTTACATACATTTTCTTCTTAACCATGCGCTTAACTGTGCTATTATTTAGTCTTTAAAATACCACGTTATCTTTGTACGGTGCATTTTTGGTGTATCTTTTTATCATTATGAAATCCGCGGAAAAGGAAGTGTTGAAGTATAGTGATGGCATATTTCAAACATTAAGGCAAATTTCTGAAAGTAGAGTTTGGACCGAATAACAGCTGTTGCTTTCCGGACTAATAAACATGAAAAGCTGTCTTCGATGCAGATTTCTCTAAGTTGATGGTTATGTCTGTGATGGTCCATTGATAAAGGATCGATGCAAAGGTTTCTTTTGATAGCTGTGCATAAAAATGCTATCGTCGATTAGAGATGCTAAGGAATACCTATATTTGGCAAAGTTAGGTAAAACAGTTAGAATCATAAGCGCCTGGTGCCTGAGACGAGTGTTTCGGGGCTAAGAGATTTGAAATTTTTTACTGAGGTTCCAGGTTCAAAACCCCTTGTCGCTGAGTGTATTTATACTATAGTTTATGATAGTTTTCGCCTGTCACTCAGTAGCCTCGCGCTATTCTGGATTGCACATTTTGTTTTAGTACTTACTCAGTGTGTATCGCATTTGATATTTTATCAGAGGATACAACCCCTCGTTGGCTTGGGTAACTCAAGAACCGTTTGCCTTTTGGCAGGACAAAGATTTGTATAAAAGTATCAATGATCTCAGTATTACTGAGGATGACATAAGCAAAGCAATCCAGATGAATGACACTATCGATCCTTGCCGTGTGACGACACTGACGAACAAAATATTCCGGGGTGAGCCCATCAAAATGATCGTGATTGGTGGATCGAATTCAGCCGGGGGTGGAGTCGAAAATCACAGGCGTTTATATCACCAACTGTTCTCTCAGTGGTGGGAAAGAACGATTTCACCAACGACTGGCTCCAAGTTGACGGTGGAAAATATGTCACTTGGAGGGACTGGGAGCGACTTTTTTACATTTTGCCTGCAGAATTTCATATCAACAGATGATGAGCCAGATTTAGTGTTCATCGAGTTGTCAGTAAACGATTATGGATGCATATACGGCGCAACAGCTCAGCCGATGGAACTCCTTACACGACGAGTTTTGTCCTTGAAATCCTTTCCATTAGTTCTGTACGTAAGCTTGGTTGATTTGGTCAAGAAAGGTGCATCTCTCAGCAGTATTAAGAATCCAAGATGTCACAATTTGGAAGATTTGGGACAAGGTGAGCTTGCAACTCACTATGGGATTACCTTGCTTAGCTGGCGTGACATACTTTGTCCAGTGAATCCAGCAAATGGCATCCGAAAAGCCTTTATACGGCCAGGAATGGTGAATGATGATCATCTGCACATTGATATCAAAGGACATGCTCAAGTTGCTCTCATTCAAATCCGCTACTTTCAGAGTATCCTACTACGAACGAGCCAGCAACTGTTCTGTGAAAGATCTTCATTAAAGGACCCTTTATTTGCCAGTAGTTCGATGCTGGTTACAAACCCTCGCTGCTGGGCTTCTACAAACCCAAGATGGGGAAAATCCAATGTGCATCAGTCTCTTGATGTAAAGGTAAACAAAAAACGGCGTTTCAGCGAACTGCCTCTAAAAAGCATCAAAGCGAAGATGGGCTCTCCATCTGACCGTCGAACAGACGCGTTCGGTGGCTGGGTGTCTCTTCGACAAGGGAGCTTTATAGAGTTCTCCTTTCAAGTTCCACCCAAAAAATGGTCTGTAGGTATCGTTTTACGTAGAATGAGGCAAAATTCGGGTCGATTATTGTTGTGGCTTGACAAAGACAAAAAGAATGCGGTAGGCATAATTGGAAGAGCTTTCGGTAGTGTTCATTTTCAAACCCGTGTTTACTTCGTGGCTCCACAGGTGTCTCAGGGTCGCCATAACATTAGCTTGGAGTCTCAAGGAAACAAAGCTATTTCTGTTCTAATAAACGGTATCGTGTTAGGCCCTGCTGGAATTGATGAGTTTGAAGGATATAAACCTACTGGAACTTTAGAAAAAGTTTGGAGTCTTGAAGACTATAAAAAGTTTAGAATATAATTTAGGATATCACGTAAATACGTTAAAAAATGAATTAAAAGAAAAATTCGTGGCATTTTCTCCTTCATGTTACCATTTTCGTAGAATGACTTTCATTTCTGTCTGCTGTTTTTTTTATTCTCTTTTTTCTTCCCTTAATTTGTAAGAGATGAAATCAAGGTTTGACTACCCGAAGTTCAATATTTGTTTTTTTAATTTATTTTCGTGTTTGTTGATGCTATTATCAAAGATATTCGCACTTAATGCACATACTTTTGTGCAAAAAAAGTAGTCTAACACGCGCAATCCATTCTTCTTTTGGACTTTTGATTTACTACCTCTAAAACACGGGAATAAACTATGCGACGTTTTTCCCATTGATTGGCTGTTGATGTTGAACCACATGCATGCAATTTTAAGAAATCGCACTAAACCACGCTAGTCGTCGATGTGTCAGGACGAATGTTCCTGTTACCGAAAAATTGCATGTAATCTTCAAGAAGATGGATTTATGGACTGGAAGGTGAACTCATAAACTAGTGCTGAAGGTAAGAATTGCTTAAGATAAATGTGACTTTTATTTTTCCCAGAACACTGTAAGGATCTAATGAATAGGAGTACAGTGATAGATAGAATTTGGTTCACTAATGGTTAATGTTGTTCATTCCAAGTTTTAGGCGGTTCATTGCTCAAACAAAAAAGGGTTATTAGCTTAGCCTTGAGAATAAATGTGATAGGCAAAATAACCGACATTAAATGCTGTCGAAAGTTTTGATAGCAAAACTTTCTGAGCTCAGTTTCTAACGTAGAACCGAACACGTGGCACCGGGTTTCTTAGTTATATTCCACAAAGTACATGGCACTCTAATTATTTTACGTTCCTGAACAGCGTCATTTATTCGTGTCTATCTTGTCAAAGCAATTTCTACACTATTTAGAATGGAAGCATAAACTTTGGCTTTTCGTAAAATGTTAGTCTAGCTTTTGTTACGCAATTTAAAACAGAAGGCGTTACTAAAGAAACGCGTGTTACCTGGAAGGTAATCATAATTTAAACTCTGGGTTTGGCTCAGAAATTAATTCAATGGCTGATCGTTAAATTTTTCTCTACGATTCATAGGAAGGTTACCTTTGGGAAGAGAATATAAGGACAAGTGGATATGGTCAGGAGAAGAAACTGGAATCGGTGAAGAGTGGAAACATTGGTCGCCAAAGATAAGAAGTCCTTATAAAAGCTCAATACAAATGCTTGCTGTAAAAGAACCTAAATTCCAACGGTATCTTTAATAGTTTGGCTTTATTTTCCCAGATTGTTTGTTTTTATCGAGTTTCTAAAAAATTGTTTGGCACGACGCTTTGAAAGCATTGGATGTCAGCCAGCATTTTTGAGATTAGCCCATAAACATTACAGACGATTAATAACGAGGATTGTAGACGCTGAGCAACCGATTTAATCATGTCGCGTATTTGAATGGTTTCAGTCAAAGTCGGAAACGAAACAAGATGATCATCTTGCTATTAAATTTGGCAATTCAGAACACCTGTTATAACGGTGTAATATATCGGGCGGTATGTATTCATTTTCTTTCCTTGATCGCTCGTCGTCTTGCATGAAGTAAGCACACGTTATATGTCGAAACACCACTCCAGTTTAAGGTGGCTGAACACAGTTTATGATACTTCTGTTTCTTTCACCATTTTCTCTAAAACCCTTAATCTCTCGGTCGCCAATAGTGGCAGCAAGCAAGTTAGCAACACAAACTTTGTTTTTCTTTTATAATTAAGCTGACGTATATGCCGTTGCCATGGCGACATGACTAGACATAAATAGGCAATTAAATCGGTTTTGTTTCTTTGTAGAAAATCTAGTCATTAGATTTTCTCTATAACTTGCAACGAGCTTGTAACGAGTCTCACAAATTAACACCATTTTGCTAACAGTTTAACAGAGATCTTCATTTATCCCTTGCTGAAGGTTCACTCGAATTTCTAGAATTTCCTTTGTTTAAAATCAATATTTTTTTTAATACTCCCGTTACTTATTTCCTAAATTGTTTTCGTGCCAAATTTCGTGAAATTCTAATGAGTGGTTCTCAAGAAATAGGCATATTTCCGAGAAAGCAATTTTTCATTCAATCGCAATTTTTTGACTTGCCACGCATGCGCTGCATTTAACTGGGTTCTCTCGGTAACGACGAAAAAGCTGACAATTG